AATTTTTGGGTACACTTATTAACTCCCCGGTTGAGAGAGCGATTGTTGTAAGTTCGAAAAACCCCGCCTCTATTATTTTCTCATAGTCCTCATCTGGGACTTGTGGAAACCTACATTTTTGCCCCAGCAGATCTGGTTTCCGGTTATACGTGTGAATTTCAAAGTTCTCTTTCTTCTTGGGGGTAGAAACCAAATGGAACCGGTTTTTCCAGTCAGACCACTTAGACGATTTGCCTAGGGTCATTAAGTATTTGGGGTAGGTGGTTAGAGTATACCACGCTCTCCACCCGCTTGGACTACGGCTCAGATAATGCATATTGGCAAAGGCCTCCCAGCCAGGATGGAGACCCTGCATCTCACAGGCGGCGATGTAGCCCGAATGTTAACCCAAGATTTTGGGGTTAACTACCACACGCCTAGGCCATATCTTCGCAGGATAGCCTTGATGGTATCATGGAGGGGAAAACGGAGTCCAGCTAAAAAGGTTGCCTCATAGCAATCGAAATACTTGTAGGCGTTGGGCTGGTCATCATTCCAAGCTATGGTTCCCAAATCAGGCAGCACCCGGATAACATAACCTTCACCAAGAGGATTTTTGGACGTGAAGACCTCCAGGTGCTTCTCCATGTTTTCCCTATCTCTGGCAGAATCATGGATTCGGAAAGGGTCCCCCTCATTATTCCACTTTGATCTTTCCTCAGCCTTAATATCCTCAATCGATGATAGTGAGCTGCTGCTCTCTTTAGAGCTAGACCCAGACACAGAGGTGGACCCACTCCCGTCTCTCTCAGAAGCAGCCTCTTCCGCCTCCTCGGCGTGAGGTACAAAGACGGCTTCTTCACCGTCTCCGTTCTTAGACTCTAGGATCCCATCACTAGAAGTGCTGGGTGCACCCATAGGAGATCCCCTTACCATCTTAGCCTATTCTACCTTAGGCAACACTTCTTATGCTCTCATCCCAATATTCCGGATCTACAGCCGTTCATCTAGTCCGAGCCATAGTGGCCTGCACAAACACGGAGACGGTCGGATTAGGAGATGAACAAGAGTGATCCAAGCACCTAGAGGCGGCATCCCCAGTCCTAGACTCAGTCGTACTAGGTGACCGGCTGCCTACTAAACTATGATGTGCCGTGTATGCTGTTGGTGAATCCATTTATGGAGAAATATGTACACAAATGGAAATATATGAAAGAGCTGAGAAGGGAGGAGACGGTACCTCAAAGATAAGCTGAAAAGTAATCAAGCGGTGACCGACTCTTACTAGTAGATGGAAATCGAACAGTTACTTGCAAGATGCTCAGACGGAAGATCGGATATACCCACCTGAGAAAGCAAGTGAATCTGTTGGAAGGATATTCAGACGGTTCTAGGAGGTTTTTTTTGTTGGGGTGCACAGACGGTTACCCGGATGTACCCCTTAGAAAAAGAAGAATTGCTTGCAAAACGCACAGGTGGTTCTTAAAGGTTTTTCTGTCTGACAAAAGCGTAGACGTTTTACCGTTTGTATCTAATGGAAAAAGAAGGCAATTGTCTGAAAGGTATACAGACGGTTGTCAGAGTTCTTCTCTCTAAGAACGAATGTCTCTCTCTCTTAGTTTCGGAAATGACCAAAAAAGGAGGGGTAAAAATCTATTTATAGAAGGTTAATTCAGGGGGCATCCCCGTAATTTCCCTGGAAGACAAACGATTAAAAATCGTTCTCCAATGATCGCCTGACAGTCACAAGTGTCATGTGGCATGCCACATCACACCCATGAGGGGAAAATGTTTTGGGTAAAAATACCGAGGGCCACGTGGCTGAATGAGATGGTGACACGTGTCACCTCAAGAGAGGTTCACAAAGAAATAATCCCATGCTGACACGTGGCATCTTGGGAAATAGGCGGCATTCCTGGCCCAATTCCCGAGATAGCCCACCATTCCTAGGTTTCCGTAACCTAAGATGGCGACACGCATTTCGAGACCCTATAAGTAGGGAGATGTTCCCATCATGGGACGCATTAAAAAAATATTCACAAAAAACAGAGCAATTATTAATTGCAGATATTACTCCTGATCTCGGAATCCGAGAAGATACTTTACTCTCCGCACTTTTTACAGACTCCATACACGTTCTAACTTGATCGCCGGAGGCGGAACTCCACCCAACCGGAGTCTCCGTTGTTTTGCAGGTACAAGCGCTCGGAATCCAGTCTTGGTGTTGTAACTCTACAAGTAGTAGTAGTGTATGAATGAACAAGTAATCTAACTATGTAGTCTGTATTTTGTGGGGTGGATGATAATAGCACTACATCTTTGTTGTTTTGAACTATGGTAATTTTTTGTGAATGTTAACATGCCATGAGTAATGAAAGTTAGCATTGTGGTGTTCAAGCCCCAATTATATGTGTATTATTGGAAATTCAAGCTAAATTAGTTTAATTTGCGCAAAAGGTAAATCAAATTGCCCTTACTTACTGAAACACTTTAAAAGGTATATTTATTCAAGCACAACAATATACTAACCACCTTGATCTAAGCAAGATGAACTACTAAAATAGTGCTAGAGTCTTAGCTTATTTAAAAAAAGTACATTTCACCACCATGGTTTCATCAACCTCTAAACTAACTAATCTAATATACCTAAATAGAATAATAAGAACAATAACAAAGACTAACAGGCAGCAAAATCCCATATGCATGAGTCGATGGTTCTTCATTAGTATCAACTGATCTTTAAGTGCTTGATTCTCAAGTTGCAGGTATCCTCTTTTAGCAACAACATCATCCAATTCCTTCTTCAACATCTTAATCTCAATCTTCTACACGTTCTTATCTACCATTAGTAAATTAGTGACATCCTTTTGCCATTCAGCCATTTCTATGTGTAACCCAATTGAAAGTCACAACCCCTGCTATTAGTGCCTTGCTCTTAGAATTGGCATGCTTGAAATCTTCGTCCAGGATTATGCTTAGTCCATGAGGTGAGTGTTGAAACCGCGTACCCACACTTGGAGATTTTAAGGCTTGTCTGCACAAAAATCCAACCTTTGTTTATTTGTAACTAAATAGAATAGATAATAATTTATATATTCCTCTAATTATTTCACGAATTGAAGACCCTTAACCCTAATTTCAATTGAAAACCACAATCTCAACCACATTAATTGAATCCCCAAATTGAAAACCCTGAACCCTAAAATGAATTGAAAGCCCCCAAATTAAGATGCGAATCATACCTTTCTTCGTGGAATCATTGTATTGTAGCAGCAAGAGCAATGATCCTCCTTAATTTCTTCGCCGCAAATCAATTTGAAGTTTTTCCCTAATTTTGAGAGGAGTTGAATACAGGAGAAACGAGAAATCGAGAGAGGAAGAAAGAAAAGGAGGGAAAAGGGTGGGAAGGTATTTAGTGCTTGGGCCCCACAATGATGTCACACTTGAGTGAAGAGTCAAAGTGGTGGGAACTTTTGATGTTTTAAAAAAAAAAAACTAGGTGGTAAAATTAAAAATAAAAAAATTGTAGGTAGTAATTCCTAAAACAGCGACACTTGTAGGTGGTAATTGTAAAAAAAAAAATCTTAAAATATTTCATATATCTATCTAATAAATTTTGTGATCTTATTTGCTTGTTTTTAACTCGATTTGTTTTATAGGGAAAACGAGCTCATGCCTACATAGATGTTTTTTATTATAAAATAAATTTTTAATTTCTTTTCTAAAGTTTCTAATATAAAAAGATACTTTATTTTTATAATTTATTTAAAATTTTAATTCTAAAATAAATTACAATTTTCTTTTTTCATTGGCTAAACTAAAATATACCGTTTTCCTATGTGGGCTCTAAAATTTTTGTTTTTTAAAAAAATTATAATAACGTTGGTTTCATTAGTCAAATAATAAATTATTTAATTTTATTCATGATAACTTTTTAAAAAAGGCTAGTGAGTAGCCCAAGTGTTGCCCTAGGTTGCTACTGTTGTAGACGTGCAATCAATAAAATTTTTTAATGACATATTAAAACTGAAAGTTTCATTATAAAACCAAAATTGAGTTATTCTTTGAGATTTTTTTTTATTGAACCTTGTGGTTTGCACTTATATAATTGGCTTATATGGTTAGATAATCATCTTTGTTATAAGATGTTGAAGTTTTGAACTTCATTTTTGGGTGATGTGGCGTGATGGTGAAAACTGTTTGAGTGATGATGTGACATCTTGAGATTTTGGTACGGTGATGTACAACCCACCGCCGGAACTCCCACAGCCGAGAAGCCACCCTGTCGCGCGGTAACCCGCTGAAACTACCACCTATCCCTTCCCCTAACATCGGAACGCCCCCTAAACCTAGAACTACATCCCGAAACAACCTCCCCTTAACACCAACAATGCCTAAACCCTATCCCCCATTACCGACATCGCACGAAACCCCCTCCCCTAACACCAACAACGACCGAAACCTCCTCCTCTAACACCAACAACAATCGAAACCTCCTCCCCTAACACAGATTTACCCAGAAATTCCCACCCCTAACACCGGTTGCGTTTGGGGTTTGTTTCCGGGTTTGCGGCGAGGCTATGATGGTGGTGGGGCTAGTGGGCGATGGGGTTTGTCGGGGGATACTGGTTGCCTCGACGGTAAAATAACTTCTAGTAATTCATTGTTTGTAAATATCAAGCTTTAAAACGAGAAAATACAAATTTCTCAACATGAGAAATATATAATGTTTCTCAAAAGGGCATTTTGGTCATTTAGATAAAAAAAATACCCACTGCTCTCAACTTCTCTCTCCTCAACCATGGACTTTAAATTTGAACAGTTTTCAACAATGGAAATCGAATATTTCATCAACAATGAAGGGGACACTTTCAAACAATGACAAAAACCTACCATTTGGGGTTAATCAGACCCTTAATTTATACATTATTCTTAGGGTTTTTCGTTAAATTCGGCGGCGAAGCCGTTGGATATGGTGGTGTTATGATTGGGGGTTTGTTGTGGTGTTGGTGGTGTCAGGAATGGTGTTGGTTATGGTGATGGGGGTTCGTCTGCCATTGGATTCAAGGTTGAAGAATGAATCATGAAAATGGAAGGAGGAGGAAGAAGATGAGTCAGCAAGAAAAAATAATAAAATATTAAAAAATTTGCCATTATTTACAATATTTGCCATTTTGAGAAACATAAATGTTTCTCATCTTGAGAAACTGGGGCAAGCTCCTTTAAAACTAACTTGATATTATTATTTTTTTCAGTGGAAAAAAATAACAAAAAAAAAAAAAAAATGGCAGGAAATTTTTTAATGTGGTGTTGACACGTGTAATTTACAAATTATTTTGGGGATTACTTTAGTATAGATTATTAAATTTGAGAGATATATTATTGCAATTAAAAAAATAAAGATTTTGGGTTACTTCGGGTCGTTCGGGGTCTTATTTTGGGTTGGGTCATTTTTGGTTGAGTCATTTCGGGTCACTAAAGAATCGGGTTGGGCTGGGTCAATTCGAGTTTCAGTCAAATTTGGGTCATATAACCGTGTCGGGTATCGGGTAACACTTTAGGTTGAGTTTAGGTCTGGTCAAGTTTAGATCAGGTCATTTTGGGTCGGGTCGTAGTATATACCCTGTAAATTTCTTTCTTTTAAAATACCTTCTAACTCCAAATAAAATTCATTATTCTAAAATATCCAAAGTACTACCGCCACCGTGATAACCGCTAAGGCTATTTTCAATGTCACACAACGGAAGACTAAAACTAAAAACCAACTTTTCAAAATAAAACTTGAGTTCACAACCTCAAAACATAAGTAAAATAAAACATTCACAAGTTGGAACCAATATAAACATAGCCCTTTTAAAAACCAACTTAAAATAAAGCATAACAATGTTAGTCCATGAGTAATAATCAACAATTCAAAATATAAAACCAAGAAAGCATTTCAAGTAACTCTCTGCACTCATTCCCTTCATGCTCTTCATGCTTCAAGTACCTGTTACTTTCTCTTTATTTCAACCCCTCTACTCATCATATAATGCGTCATGGTAGGGTCAATCCAAAGGAAAGCCAAACACAAACACAAAAGTACAAATCAGCAAAAGTTGAGTACATATGCATCACACTAACATGAATATCCTAGCATCAATAAATAAAACATGCTCGCCATACATTTCACAAGTCAACTTACCTTTGACTCATAATTAACAATATTAATTATTAAATAATAGTTTTGGATTTCACATCGAACGGATTTCCTTCCTTAAAAAAATAGCCCATTTAAATATTGAGCTTCCAATTAGGGAGCTACCCCAACTGGCACCTACTATGTCACCTTATGACGGAATTCCAACGCAGTAATAATAAAGAGAAGTACAACGTCTTGTATCCCTGTAGAAGCTATGATCAAACATAAAGTCACATAACTCCCCCCATGTGTTCATACTCAAGTTGTATACGTTCCAAGAGTTTTGGTTCGTATCCTCTTACACTTTATGTGATTTACCAATTTAACTTGTGGTGACTTCAACCAATCAATCAAGAACAATTATAACAACAATCAACACATACTTTCATTTCATTCTTGAATTAATTAGTGAGCACATACTATTTATTTTAATTAAGGTTCCTTGCCTAGTTTTGTACACAAAATTGCACTATTACTACCTTGGTGCATAGGATGCACTTCCTTGACTCAAACTTAACTTACATGGGTGAGTAAATAAATAAACTAACTTTTTGACTCAACTCCAATAATATATGAGTGAGAAATAAAATCTTGAATCATGCTCAATAATTCCAATTTTAGCTCTTTTAATCATATATAAACAATACTTATTAAATTCATGCTTTCTTGATATTTGAAAATAAAACATACTTCCATGATTCATACATATTCAACTTGTATCATGCCTCAAAAAATAACATGTTCACATGCTTGCATAATAATTCATAATCAACCAACATCAAATCCAAGCATATAATCAACCAAACATGCTACTAAATCATCATTTGAAACATACTTTACATTCCTAGCATGATACTATGCATATACAAATATATTTATGCGCATACGTACCTTGAATAGTGTCTATACTCGGCCACACTTGCTAGAAATCACCTAGCTCGAAACTTCCTACAAATAAAAATACATAACTATAATTAATTAATCCACTATTCTCACAAATTTCCAGCAACTATAATAAACTTTGAACCTCACTAAATAACCCAATTTTATAGTTTTAAAGCCTTTAAACCGTTTCTGTAAGTGGGTACTTTAAATCCTTTTAAAAAGACTTAGTTTTTATGACTTGAATAAAATTCCAGCATACTTATTTAATATGAAACATCACTAATAGACTAGGAAATCATATTTAAATCATCAAAAAACTTTTTCCGTGTATGGGTAATCAAACCCTAACATAATAATTAAAAAGTAGTGTGTATAAATAAATTCCAGCATTAATTGAGGGCTTAAAACTCATTAAAAACATGTTCTAAATATTAATTTAATAACCACAACAACCTAGGATCAAACCCTAATCATAAACATTAAATTCCCAAATTCTAGTGGTTTGTCAATTGGGGTTTTTTTTTTTATTAAATTAAAATTTGAAAATTATAGGAATAAATTTACAAAATCAACAACATAAAATCAACTTCACAATACAATTAAAATCATGCTTTGAAATAATTAAAACAAGCTTAGAATTAAATTAGGAAGAAAGAGAGTTTTTTTCTTTAATATCGAAACCGCAAAAGGAGAGAGAGAGGAGGTGGCGCACGGCCGCCAGTGCTGCTGTTGACCGCCGGTGGTCGGTGGTGGCGCCGGTGGCTGCCGGTTGTGAGGGGAAGAGAAGAGAGAGATGCGTGGGAAAGAGAGGAGAAAGAGGGAGGAAAAAGGAGAGAGAAAAATAAGAGGAAAAGTTTGGGGTTTTGTAAAATCTGACTACTTGACTTTTGAGTGTGAAATTCTTTGAGATTTTAGGGCATTTATATCCCCTTTTAAAAAAAACACTTATTTACAAACATGTCATTACTAATCCTACGCTTCCTTGAATTCTCCTTGAGGCCAACTTGTTGGGCTCTTAAAAATTGTTTGACTCCCAACAAGTTAGTCCAAAAATTCAATTGATGTTGACCCAAATTTAAATACTATATTGGCCCAATTAATAACTCATATTATTTTATACACACTTGCTTTATATTTAAATAATTAATTCATTTAAAATGAAATGAATCATTTTAGTTTATAAATAAATAAATAAAATAAATAATTAATATATATAAAATATTATAAAAATACGGAGTATTACAGTCGTTTTGGGTCGGTTCAGGTCAGAGGGGTCGGCCGGCCGTTATCGGTTGTTAGGGAAGGCGGCCGGTCGAATTTAGGTGGGGTTGGGGCTTCAATGGATTATTTTGAGAAGACATGTAAAAGGTGAGATTATTCTTGTGAAAAAACTTACAAACAATTGATACAAGTTTTGGTGTCGATAAAGGAAAACTAATACGTTGAGCGGCTTTGTCTCGTAATTGGACAATCGTGTAAAAACCCGCCCCATTTAATAATTAGACAATCTAACCCATTTATAACTGTGGCTGGTCATACGCCCCTACCTCTCTTTCAAAGTTCTCCGTTGAAGCGCACTCAACGGTCTCCATTGAAGCTAGTACTTGTATCCCCCATTGAAGCAGCTTCTGAGGTAAGTTGTTTTGTTTTTGCTATCATCATATCAATTTCACAATCTAATTTAATTTCAGTGCATTAAGTTTAGGGTTCGAAAATCTCAACTATTGGTTCTAAATTCTAAGAAAATTATGAGCCTAATTTGGTTATTGAATCAAATATCCCTAAAATCATGTGATTTTTCGAATCAAATTTGGTCGCTAATGTATTGCACAACCCTTTAATGTTAGATTCAACCATGAAATACAACTTTTAGTGTTAGGATGGAACTATGAAAAAGGGCTTTGTCTCCTGGTATAGCATTTATTTAGTTTTATTAAATTGCGAAATGAAAAATGATGAGCTTAAAGAAAACGAAACCAAGCCAATGGCAATGCAACTTAATTATACACCTTATTCATTTACGGAAATTCATGTATTGTCTTTCTTTTTCCTTCTGATTTCCGACGGTATCCTAATCCTGAAAATGTTGGAAATGTTTCTGATTAGGGTCAGGTGAAACAATTCTTATGGAGTGTGTGGTTCAGGGGATCATTGAGACCCAGGTAAATTTTTAGCCTTTTTTTTTTTCCAATCTAATGTTGTTCATGTTTGAATGTTTACTGTAGTTAATCTTAACCTACATGACTTTGCAATCTGTTGCCTTTTTTTTTTTTTTTTTTTTTTGGTGTGTGTCTGCATTTGTTTTCTCATAGCCTAAAATGCAACAGGATGAGGCTAATACTTCCTGTGCGCTTAATAATTTTCAGACATTCTTTTTTGGGTTTTATAATTTGCTCACTTTTATATTGATACTTCTCTTGTTAATATAATGTCGACTATATCAACTGTGTGTCGCTTCAATAATATGTGGTCCATACTCCATACCATGTTTATAATTGAGACTCATATGCTGAACACTAATATTATATGTGCAGGGAGTGCAGCACCTTTAGAAATAGAATTTAACAAGCAATTTTTTATGAGGATCCTTTTATAATTTGCAGTATCAGCCATACCCTAGAGTTAAAAGAGCAATTAATTGATTAAAACAGGTAATGCACCTGCATCTATCTTTTCTTTGTGTCCTTGAATCCGTTGGCTTGTAGTAAGACATAGGTTAAGCACAATAATAACATAAATATTGCTCTCCCTTCGAGTACAAAACACATACCTACAAAGAATGGGACTACTAATATCTTTATCTAACACACCAACATCAACAACAACAATAACAACAGCAACAACAATAACAATAACAACAACAACAACAACAACAGCAAAGTCTTAGACACTTAGTCCAAAATGATTTGGGGATATCTCGAATACACCAACTTAGAAAATGCATGTCCTCTTATGGAGGTGAAAAAGCATTTTACTCTCCTCGAAATCCCTTTATTCCACCTCATTCTCTCATCTTCAAAACCTGAAGGTAGTTTTGGATATGTATAATTGCTTATACACAATGAAAAAGTGTTTTTTTTTATCCTCAAAATTTTCCTCCTTGGTTTGAAGATCTTTTTAGGTACACCCAATGCTATCTCTTGCTTATTTATCCATTTGGAGCCCTCCAAAAATAAAAAATATCCTTTAGTGAGAGAAAATGAGCAGCAAGATTGTTGTTAAATCCATGGATTGAGTGATGGTGTAAGAAAGCTTCTCAAGGGGCACAATTTTTTTTTGTTTGTTTGTTGTTGTTGTTGTTATTTTAGATTTCATTTTGTTCCTTTGGTAAAAAAAATCATTTGTTGACTTAGAAAGCTACAGACTTTAAGCAAAGAAATGCTTGATGCATTCTGTCTCATGCTTTAGTTTTGGAGGCATGTGGTGTAAACCAATTAAACTTTGCTACACCGACTCTCTTGATGGTTGGCGCAACCAGAGCTCCTCGAGCCTCATGCTCTGGCACCTTTTTTTGAAGCTGAGTGTACAATAAATCCTCGTGATTTTTTTGTTGCTTAGGCCTTTATCTCCAAAATATAAGTATTGTTTGATTTTGAAAATTCAAACTTACTATTCGATTCTCTCTCACTCCCACACTCTCTTTACCTTTATTTCTCTATGCCCTTGGTGACCTACTGACCTGACTGATTTAGTAATCATTTTTGGAGTTAAATCTTAATGCAGCTTCATCTAGGTGTTTCATATATTCAAGTTAAGCAACACCTAATTTCACTTATTTTTTCCTTTCTTTCCTTGCTAATTTCCTCTGACTGCCTTAGCTCCACTCTTATTTTTGAACGCCTTCGTCCTACTTATCAAGTGAATTTTTTTTTTATTTTGGGCATTGTTCATTGGCATTGACTTCTTACAAAAATTCTTAAATCAGTGAAACCGATTACTACATGGATGATCACACATGTATAATCCTGTTTTCAACAGATAGTATTATGGAACTTTAAGTTTAAGGGATAAAAGATGGGATATTTACTGAGGGTTACATGTTTAACATTCGTATTCTAACTCTATCACATAAGCAGAACACTTAATAAATGAAGATTGTTTTGGACTGTAAGTATAGAATTCAAATTCTAGGGGTGCTTAAGGTAGACAAGTAGTGCATCTAGTTTTATTTTCTCTCCTGCTAGGTCCTTTCCAAGTCTGCTGTGATGTTTTTCAATACAGAATTCATGTATGGGCAAGGACAACTATCATATCCTTGAAGATGGGGAGAAGAAAATAAGAGGGAAAATTGGTGCAAAGCTCAAAATTAATTCATTATTCATGGTGCTGAAAATATGTTGCGACTCTATCCTAATCACAGTTTCGCCGTCTTTGAACCAAAATAACCAATCATAACAACTTTTGTGACATCAATGTTGGTATATCATTCAAAGCTTGCTGTCTCTTTTCTAATTATGAGAGTGTTACATAATTTTCTTCCTCTTTCATGACTATATTGTGGGCTTGTGGCTATGATGGACTGCACATGTAACTTTTTTTGATTAAAATCATTTGACTCTTCTCCTTGCTGTATGTGGCTGGTGGACGAAATCGCTTTCTGCCACTTATTTTTTATTTTATTTTTTTTAATGGTGTAATAAGTTAAAAAAGAACTATATCTTCCTATACTTCATCCAGCTGATACTTAGCACCTACTGAGACTTTTTAAAATAAAAAATAAATAAATATTGCTGTTGGGCTTTAACTGTTGTTCAGCTACTTTTTGTATGCTTATACAGTTGTACCTATTTAAAACTTTGCCTTGTGATCAACAAAAATGGCTATAGTTACCAAATACCCAAAAAAAAAAAAAAAGGAAGAGTAGAAAAAACTTCCTTCATGCTTTTGGTAATTGCCTTAGGATGTTTGACAAACAACACTCATGTGGCTGCTAAATATAGAGTAACAGACATGCCAAAATTGTATTATTTAGCATTTTCCCTTACATCATGTATGAACCATTGATCCTACTAGAGCAAATTCTTAGAATGATAGCTGTGGTGGAACAAAATGTCCTAAGCTTTCTAACTCTTGAACAATGAAATTCTAAACATTAAATAAATAATTCTTCTCCCTCAACACCAGAATATAATCCCTTATCAGTCAAGTTCTTAATTATATAGGTAGTTAGGCAGGGGGGACGCATTTTTTTCCCCTCTATTGTTTTTTCTACTTATGAACTTAAGTAATGCTTTTATATCTAAAAAGTATTTCAATGGAATTTATAGACTATCTTACTCATGGCTTCTTATGGATAAAATTTGGATTTTTATGGTGTAATTCACTCAAACTCATACTATTTGAATTCACTTTTTAACACGGGCCTTTGCTACAGCATGTGGAAGCACTGGAGATTCTTCTTCAGGGGATTTGTGGAGTCAATAAGGAGCGGTTAAGGATTCATGAGTTGTGCTTAAAAAGCAGCCCAAACCTTGGTAATTTATTATTATCTCTCTGTTTGGATATCTAGAGTACTTTTGGTGGTTTAGTATTGTTTATTCTTTGCTGTAGATTGCAATTTAATAATCCTCTTGGAACTTTTGCATCTTAAAATAGTTTATTAATGAGAAAACCTTTCTTAGTTCCTTTCACCCAGTTAATCTTATGTGATAATTTTTTTTTTAATTTTTGGTGGTGAATTGAACTTAGGTAGCTCTGAAACTTATTTTTTAAGGTGAAATGAACAAAGCCGTAAAATCCATAGCTTACAAGGCTAAGCTACTAACAACATAAGTACATATACACCAAACAACTAAGCTCTAGAGGGTCAGAATTTAGGGATCATGAGGCCTTGCTTTCTAGGAACAATGTCTCTTAATCATTGTCATTGCAACCCACACCTGAATCACCAGATCTAACAACTAAGCTAGTCAAGAGTTACAATGAAAATCAATTTCTCTCCAAGAGCTCCAGCAACTTCTTGTGCTTGTGCTGAATCCTTGCAAATAGGATTTGAACAAAGGTTACAAAACCCTATACTATAAGCAGTTGCAGTTTTGCCATGTTCTAAAATACTTTTTTCCTCTTATTCTCTACCTTCAAATCTCTAGTGCCATCAAAAGGCTTAAATCCATGGTATAAAAGTATAAAACTATAATAACTACTTGTAGCTAACTAGCTACTCTGGCAGTCGTCTCATAAAATTTGCTTGAAAGGGAAGTCTACACAAAACTTACTGAAGAAGGCTCATTCGAAGTTGTCAAAGCCCATACATATACCAACCTTAATGAAAAGTGGAGGGGAGCTTGATTTTGCATGGTCTTTGACTCGTTCGAATGAGCATGAATCAGAGACGAGGTAGCTTTTAGCTTCTGGTTTTCACTTTCTTTTGTGCAGTGACCCTTGCTTCTGGTTTCCATCTATGCTCCTCAATTGAGTTCACACCTCAACACAAGGAAAAAAAAACATGCTTAAATATTGCAATGCTTGGTTCTGAAATTACTTCTCAAGTATCAAATCAAAATCATAGTGTTTTGACAGAAAGGAAAAGAAAGTCACGGACTTTTCAGAACACTTTTTGCAAGGTTGTACCTTTTTGTTGGGCAATGAAAACTAGAAATATTTTTTGCGTATTTTTCATGGTGTTTCTGCAATCAGTAGGTAGCTCTATGTCTCCCATATGCATCTTCTTGATCTTTTTGTCAGTTGTGATGATTTGAGAGTAGGATTTCGTCATTAGAGGCTTAGAGTAGGAACTTATTCCTTCCTCTAGCGCCTTTACTAGTAGTTCAAATTTTACATGTAGCAACATTAAATCTACTTCCTACAATTGTCAGACCCCTGTTACGCCTTCATCCCCTTTTCTACCATCCTGCAATGACCATATATATTTTTTGATGAGTATGAATAAACCAATGTGCCAGCAAGAGTTTTTACAACCACTAGACTTATGATATGGGAAACTGAACCTGTGCTTAAGGCAAAACCTACTGTCAATGGAAAACTCCTAGAATGTGACAAAAATTTAGCTCATCATTACACAATGTGCTTCTCTGCTCACCAATCAAATCACACGTCCAGTCCTCAAATTTTCAATAAGCCGGCTTGATTTCATGTCCCACCATGATTGACTAAGCCCATACCACATCTATAAAACTATGTCATCATGTAAGACCATTCATGCAGCAGCCCAATACTTGCCTTATCATGCCTTCAGTAATAGGTTAATTAAACAGCGCTAATTATCTATATAATTGCTTCATTTTAATTGGAAAATGGGAATCAATTGAAAGCAAGTACCAATGCCTTTTTGTGAATAGGAATTTTATGAAGAGCAGTGTCTATTTGTTCGTTACAATCTTTACTTCTTTAGTGCAATTGTATCATAATTACTTTCTTCTTTCAACCATTCATTTGTTGCCTTTATTTAGGACCTGCCAACTCCATCTAAATTATCACTGGAAAACTGTTGCTACCTGTTGCATGTGTGCTACAGATTGCACTAGCTATTATCTCTATAACCATCAGCATTTGCTCTATACTATTTAATTTGTGGACCCACAGCTCAAGTGATGTTTTATGGATAGCTTATACTAGAATGAGCTGTACAACCTTGGTTTTGTGCTCTCACTTTATAAATCACTTGGTATTATTGCCTGCCTGTGGAGTTGTTCATATCCTTCCAATGCTTTGGAGAATTACTTTGCACCATTTCCATGCTTTGGAGGGTTACTAAATTTTGCACCATCTTTTATGGACACACCCATGCATATTATGTTCTATGAAGGTATTCTTTTCAGTGTATTGCTTACCTCCTTTTTGTGTTAGAGATGAAACTGCGATTAGTACAAGAATCCCATAATTTCAAGTGTACAGAATCTGGTCTGGAGAGGTTCAATAGCTTGCTTGATAGCTGATACCAAAGCATGGTTATGAGTTTATGATGATTTGGAAACAAAGAAATTTAAACATTTCTCAATTTAGAATCTTGAATCGCATGGTCGCACCTGAAGGGTGAAGAGCATATTTAAGCATCTGTATTTAATTAGAGGGACTTTCAGCTAGTTTCTTAAGATAAAATCAAGCTTTAAATTCTACTTGAATACATCCAATCTGCTTTGTTGGAGAATTGTGGAATGAACTGAATTATGATTTTTGATGGGATATATTCATCTTGGAATTACAGGTATGACCAGGAAATTTAGGCTCTATATATTTTTACCCATCTTTTTACATTCTCTTACTTTATCTTACACCCACTCATAACGATTCTTAAATTGCGTATCTATAGTAAGTGAGTAGATTATAGAAGAACGAAGGTAGTATAAAAGAAAAAAAAAGGAAACTAATAAAATTTAGGTATATTTTTAACAAAATCAACGTATGTTTTTATTCATAAAAATTATCCATTTACACTTGTCCATATACCAAACATTGACACTTGCTCTCTAGATCTTGAATCTTATTGGACTTGTTGATTATTAGCCTTATACCCAAATCAAGCCTTTCCATCCCAATAGAGCTCCAACATCAGAGGCGTAAGAAACTTGCAAAATCTACTTTCAAATTGTAATGTTCCTATATGCATCAGCACTGGCAGTATGAAGAGTCTATATGACTAGATATAATATTTGTGCTGTAAAGCTCATATTTGAGTTACTTTCTATAGTACTAAAACTTGTTACTTATTGGCTCTACCTTTAATCGAGTTGGTCAATGTTGTTGTTTGTCTTGGTAAGGGTAGAGTGTTTTATAGATGTAGGAGGGGGGGGGGTGTTACTCCGTTTTAAGCTTCCGTTTCCAATTTCTCCAAATTCTCTGTTTTAAGCTTCCAATTTCTCCTCGCCCTTTCGATTGCCCAAAAAGGAGCGGTAGTAGGCGGTTGGTTTCTTGGTGGACAAGAGCTTCTCCATTGCTTTGTCTGCATAAGAAGATTCAAAAGGTTAAGTAAGTGGGACAAAATGGTTAAGTCTTACTAAAATCTAAACACATTCGGTCGACTACCTCTCAGCCTCTCTACACTTAGACCGCAAGCGGCCAGATAATCCCCATCAAACAGCCAGTCATATCGGGGAAGGTAACTTTGGGAAATGACCTCCTTCACCCCAGTCTCCTCATTGGGACGGATGGTCACTTTAAAGAGGCCCTTGTCCAAGATCTCCTCCCTGGCAAGTCTGGGCACAGGCGGAAATTAAAATCAACCTGATAGCAGAGGAGGGTTCCGGTTCCACTGTTTGTATTTTTTGTTCTTCACTTTGTCAGGAGAAGAGACAATGTAGAACTTGCTTCTCCAGTCCTTCCACTTGTTCTCCTTTCCTATTGTCATCATATAGCCTTTGTGGCTAGACAAAGTGTACCTTCCGGACCCGCTTGCTTTAGGGGTCCGGCTGAGATAATGCATATGGGCGAACGCCTCAAAGCTAGGATCCACCTCTAGCATTTCGCAAGCGGAAACATAGCCTAGGATATTTACCCAAGAGTTTGGGGCTAGTTGTCAGATACCCAGCTGGTATCCGTCCAAAATTCTCTCCACGGCCGGATGGAGAGGGAATTTAAGGCCGGCTTGAATGGCCGCCTCATAACACCCAAAGCATTCATCCCCGTAGCTGGACCCTTCTGGCCAGACTACGGTATCCTCGACATCCGACACACACAAAATGAAGTCATGTCCCATGACATGATCAGCTCGAAAACTTCCCACCTTGTCAGCCATAGCTTTCAGCTTGCCCGCGAGAACGTGATGATAGTAAGCAACAAACTACTCTCGGTGGGAAGTAGACGGCTCGGCTCAGCCCTCACCCTTTTCTACAGAAAGGGACTTTCTCGATTTCTCTAGCCAAGAGCGCATTTCCTCAGAGTCATTGGAGGATCTGCCATAAGTACTAGGCTCGGACTCACTTTTTGAGCCGTCAGACCTAGCATTCGCCTGAAGGGCCTTGCGAATAGAGTCAGAGGCATCACTCTCAAACTCCTCCCCTAATTCTTGCAAAATAGAATCATTGGGGGTACTTGGGTGTCAAGCAGCACATTAGAGATTTCACTGACAAGCGTCCTAAAGGAGCCGTCCGAGTTCTATTGCCTGGCTGTTTATTTAATTCTGGCCATGGTGTCCAGCACAAACACAGAGACAGTCGGACTCGAAGAAGTTTGCAAAGGGTAGTTCAGCAAGGGGTAGTCGGCACTCCTAGTTCTGGATTTAGCCGTCCCAGGTGACTGGCTGATCACTAACCTAGGCCGTGCCGTGTGCTTTTGAGAAACCATTTTCAAAAAGAAAAGAAACAAAGTAAAACACGAGAGAAAAGCAGGCGGTTACCTTTAGTTTGAAGGTACTGTAGGCGCTTGAAAGAGTCTTGAACGGCTGTGGAAACAGGTGGTCAGGTATAGGTGGCTTCTTAGAAAAAGACAAAGTTCTTTCCTAAAAAGTCCAAAGATTCTATGTCCGAAAATCTTGAAAATGTGCGAAAAAATGATTGGGGCATGACCTTTACATAAGGGACAATATTTTAAAAAAAAAACGGTAAAAAACCGTTCGCCTATCCGCATGTGACAC